CTTAACTAGACCTAGTAAGTATGTTTAGCGTTAAAATGAGAAAAGGTGATTTAATACTCTGTTATAACAAACTCCTGAGTAAAGGTGTGTTATGTAGTGGCAAAATTAATTTAAGCCTTTTATATCCATGTCACTATTTTACAATACTGATCAGTTCTATTTTTCTATGATGTATTCAGAGTTCTCCCTAGATTGGGAAAGGGCGCTTTTGAGTTTTGAAAGGACTTAACACCGTGAAAATGTGTAATATTATGTAATAACTGAATTTTATCCTCAACAATTTCTAAATTATCATCACATGCTATCTTATGTGTATATTTCAAAAAGTAATTCTCTCTCATTATCGAAATTAGCTAAGCATTTGTAGTTTGCAAAAATTATTGAAGGTATGATAGAAAATAATCCCTGTGTATAAGTTTTCTTCAAGAAAAGCAAATTAAAAAAAAGATCAATTGATAAACATCTTGAAAGCTTCTGAAAATTTAAAGTGAGAATTATGAGAAAATAAGCATATTTTTGTAAAAAAAAAAGAGTTATTTATTTCAAAAAAATATTTAAAATGCAAAATGACTTAAGAAATTTATTAATATGCTCCCCCCCCCGGAAATAAGACTTATAAAATTATTTACTTATAAAAATTTAACCAGTTGAGAATAATCCTAACGAAGTAAATATTTGTAATAGTAGTCAGAGTTATAAACCTATAAACACAGATAATTTTACCTGGGTGCAATTATTATTTAAACAGTGAATTAATTTCTTTCAAAATTAAACATGAGAATGAAAAGTCAGTGTTTTTAAAGGATGGGGGCTTATTTTTACAGAAAAAGCAAAAAAAGCGTATTTAACGGGAGCAAGGGGTTGGAAGGGCGGCGGGTGTCTTTCTAACAACGTTTTGGGAGAACACTAAAAGATTAATACTAAATTATTATCAAATCGAATGGAAAATATTTAAAAAAGGTCCGACAAAAATTTTGCTTTAGTGAAAAATTATTACTTAGCATATTTGAAGTCATCCCCTTAAAGCATTAAGCTCTAAAACGCGAAGTTCTGATCATAAGATCACAGGGTATTCAAGGCAGTAGTTTTTTTTTTTCCTTTTTTTGGGGGGGGGGGCTCAATGTACATATTAATTTAAACTTTTGAAAACTACAACAATTTAAGTTTTTAGTGAAGAGCAAAATCTAATGATACCTTGATCTTATTTCATTTAGAATCAAATTAATTGTTAATAAACGGATGCTTTTGTAGTTCAATTTAGTTGTTCGTATTATATCAGGACAAACTGGTTTATATCAGGTATCAATTATATCAGGTTTCTGTTAAACTCTTAGCATCTGTAAAAGTAAGTTTATTCTATAATTTCGGTTCTTTAATGTTCTGCAATTTCTAAACCAAGGTAAAAAATTTCAGTTTACAGGTGCCATCCAGACTAAAATTTTTGCTCTTTTCACTGTAAAAAATTCCGGATCTAATAACGGTGTAAAGTACCGGCAATTTCATGAAATTCTTTTTACCGTAAAATCCATTTTCATCCTAAAATATTATATCGTAATATTTTCACGGGGATATTTATTTTATCATAGTGATTCAGTGATTTTACAGTGAGAATTACTATCAAAACAACGATTAAGATTTTTTGTACCGCAACATGTTTCTGTAAAAATAGATTCTACTGTAAAAGTGCTTTTTTTCGTAACTTTATCCGGAATTTTTTACAGTTTTTAACGTACTTCATTATGTATAATATATTTGTTTTGACTTTTTAACTGTCTTCTACTAGTTATTATCATTATCTTGAGAGTTTTATTCTCTGTTAAGATTATTATTTATCAGTATTATATTTTTACTGTTCTTTGTTAGTTATTATTTTAATCATCTGCTGGAATATTGGTTATACTCATATTTATTTATGTAGAAACTGCGTTATATCTAATTTTTTGCATCGTAACATGTTTCTGTAAAAATATTTTTTACGGTAAAAGTACTGGCTCCCTGAGTATTGGTACTTTTTTTCTTAATTCAGTGTATCTCCCCCCAAAAAAGAAACAATTGTGAATTGATAATTACTTGTGCAGTATAACAAATCAAAGAGCCTAACTTTTTGGTGATAAATACTATAAAAGAATGTAGAAACTGAAAAATTAAAATACGTATATTAATTGCTAAATGAAAATTTAGTTAAAATAAAACTGCCTTAAGGTTTCAATGGTGCAAATATTATTGAAGGAAGGAAACTATCAAATAAGTTGCAAGTTTGCATAAACACAAACTCTGAACTCTTGAGAATTTATGATAGTTTGATTTGAAACACACTTACCAGAAAAAAGTTACTCGAAAACCATATTGTATCGTAAATGGTAAAACTATTCTATTCCGCTCTGAAACTATTCTTATTTTATAATAATCACAGTTCAAAATGTACAACATGAAGAAAAAAATATACCAGAAAGTATATTTGTAAAATATTTCAAATTATTTTTAATAATTCTAGCAATTTTTAAATCAAACTATGTGTGTTACTTAGTCTTTCGCAAGCTTAAAATGTTGAATAATTTTGCCTGTATGAACTAGACAATTAGAAAAGGAGGTTTTATCGATATAGAGAGAAAAAAAATGAAACTATTTAATCCAAATCACTTCATCATTCCCGGAATTCAAGCGCCATTTATTATAAAACTCCTAACTAGAAATAATTCTCTTAACAACTTCCTTTAGAACAAATGTTTTTCTTCGAACCACAACATGTTGACCAGCAAACGAGGGTGTAAATCTCTTCCTATTCTGGAATAGACATTTGAGCCAATGGGCAAAAGATGTAATCTTCTTAATTTCAATCCCTAATGCTCGGAGCGGTCAAAAGCAATGTCTGTTGATCCTATTTTCGGCAGGGATATTTTACTTTTGATCAGAAACAGCTGACGCATTACAGAGACTGGTGATTCCTATTTAAAAGCAATGTCCAGCATTCATTTCTCATTACGAACTTCAAGGGGAGACGAAGATCGTGGTCACTCTAGGGACACGGTCTTCTTTGGTACACCATGTTAAAGGTGAGTATTCAGTGGCAGTTTTTCACTTAAAATCCTACACTGAGTTAAATTGTAACACTTCCCAACCTATCGTTTGTTATCATAAATTAATTGACGTACTTAAAAAGATACCGGGATTCGCTTCTCGACAAGTTGGAACGTGTCGCTTGACTCTAGTGGACGACTTACGGGTTTGTACTTATTGTTTAAATGAGTTTTATGATAGATTAATTTGAACAAACTTAATAATTTAATTTCAAATTGATATTTGATAGATGTAAATATTCAGTTAGTTTCGCTGAATTAGAGCAGGAATAACCATCAGTATTGCCGTGAATGACAGAAATCAAGAGAATGTCGACATTCACCGATGAATGTCTACAATCACATAGTCACTTTGGTGAAAAATATTCGTTATATCCGATTTGATATTAACTTATTCGTTGATATTATTATATTTATTCGATATTTTAATATCTGCTGAGAATAGATTAGGAGTAAACATCAGTGTTCAGAGTACCGGTTAAACGCCTACTGGGAACTTGACTTTAAAAAAACATTGATGTAGGGCATACCGGGCATAGGCACTTAACTAGACCTAGTAAGTATTTTGGACATTTACCAAAGCGACTATGTGATTGTCAACATTCATCAGAGGAAATCAACAAGCACCTATTTTGATACTTTGCAGTAACATCAACACCTTATGAATGATTATATCAGCACCTATTATTAGCGAGAAAAATTAAAGTTAAAATTTTAACAAAGAAATAATGAATCGAAAATTCTGAAGCTCGATTGTTTTTACTACAGTATTTTTTCGAAAATTGTATACATTTAGTTCCACATTAGTTATTCTAATATTAAGAAAACGATCGTATATTTAAAATGAATTATTTTTTATCAATTTAGCATGTAACTCGGAAGATTTATTTGAAAATGAGCATACGATCTATAAAAAAAACATTCCGAATCTGTTAGTACCATTTCTAATTATAATAATTTTTGGAAGCACAAAAGTGATGACATAAAGAAATATACACTATTGAACTCCCTAATTCGGTCTATAACACGTGTTTGCCATAGAGTTAAAATATTTTAGATTTTGTTTTAGTCGTTTGAGTTTCCGATGTTGCTATGTGCACTCTTTTCAATCATACTAACGGTTTAAGTTATAAAAAAGCGTAATTAAATACTATATTCACTAAATTTATTTCCCACTTTTTCAATGAAAATAAGTACCAACTGAAAAATGTCAATTTCAAAACTTTATAAAATTAGGCTTTATCTTTTGCTGCCTTTAAGAGATCTCTTTCCTCAAATGTCAACGAGAACGAAGCAAAAAAATCAGTATAACTAACTATATTAAACTATTAACAGTATATTAAACTAATGTCGGGCCGTGGTGGCTCAGGAGATAGAGCACTCGCCTCCCAATGAGGTGCGCCGGTTTCGAATCCCATTGATATCGGGTCGATACGAGTTCTGTACCCAGGTCACCCCGACCACAGTGCTGACATAAGATATCTTCAATGGTAGGCGGATTATGGGTCAGAATCCCTTTACCATCAAGCTAACCGTGGGAGGTTTTCGTTTTTTTCCGCTCCATGCAACGCAAATGCAGGTTATTTCTATCAAAAACTCCTCCACGAAGGCAAATCTCTTCCAATACTTGATCCAGGAGTACCTTTGTCTTCTGAATTGGGTTCAAAATTATAAGGCTATGAAGTTGAACAATGATAGTTGTAAACTCAAAATTGGATCTGTTGTTCAACGACGGTTATAAAATGAAATAAACTGATGCTGGATACTTACTTTACTCGGCAATATCCGTGGAAACTTGTAAAATACAAGGCCGTTACCCGATCAGCATTTGTAAAATATAATTTTAGATTCTCTATTGATTCACATATTTTAGATTTTCTATTGAATTTTTTCGGACTAAATTATACCAGTATGATTCTGCAATCATCGTTTTTTTGAAAGACATTCTTATGCAGTTGTCTGTTTTTATATTTTCAATAAATATTTTTGCTTTCGGCGTAATTTAGTTACAAGCAGTTTTAGCAGCATATTAATCAATTTTCATCAGTTTAAACAATGAAAAAAGCAAATTTCGTTGAGAAAAAATCAAAAACAGGTAATTGCACAGTATGTATTGAAATACCTAGCTAAAACTACAAACCGCATAGTTTTATTGCTTTATAATTATAAGAAAAGCTCAATAGTACTTGTAATACTATATTTAGAAGTTACCAGAGCTGCACAATAGACTATTGATGACGCTCTGGAAAACATTATTGAAAATGATCGCCGTCACAATTCTGATGCTTTGATAGAAAAAAAATTCGAAATTGAATCTGTAGAAATTCGAAAAGTAATCAATCGCTATTTGTCTAAATCTAATGGAATGACAGTATTTTTAACATCTTTTTTGTAAGGCACAGTGGTGTCGAAAGATTTCATTTTATATTATAACCGTCGTTGAACAGCCTACCCAATTTTTTGAGTTTATGACTACTAATGTTCAACTCCGTAGTCTTGTAATTTTGAACCCAATTCAGAAGATAAAAGAAGCATTGAAAATTTCATTCCCATTTTAATTCCCAAAATAATCTAAATAAAAAAAAATCCACTAAAAAAATTTCTATGTCAAAGTTGATGTAATAATGTATCAACCTTGACAGGTTAGTAGTGACTTACACTCTAACTTAAATTATGTATCCTTTTATTCCTCAGGTTGTGATATTATTCTTATGGTTGGCAGCCAACCTTACAGATACGGTTGTGAGTGCACCTCCAACTCGGATGAAGCGAGATAACATCAGGCTGTGTGGAAAACTGTTGGTTGATACCTTAAGTCAACTGTGCCACGGAGAGTATTACGATCCCAACGATATTGGCGTCATCAGCAAGAGGAGTTACGCACCAAATCCTCTTGGTGAGAAAAAATTTCATTATCCATCATTCACGCTGTTTAACATGGGTTTTTTTTTAATGTCTGTCGCCAAGGAAAATAAACAAGCCACAGTTTAAATACCTTACACTCGAATCAAAGCGATCCCTTACAAAAAACGGATGTTTCTATAGGTTGACAGATGTAAAAAATACACCTAATATAGAAAATGAGGTTATGTTTTGCACCAAAAATAACCTCAATAATAAACCACAATTTCAGCCTCATTTATGCCATACAAAATTAACCTCATATATAACTCAGAAATAGTTTTTGTTTAGATTGGATGAACTTATTCCCACCTCAAATATACGTTTTTGCTTGAAGAGTAGAAAATATAATCCGTAAATCTCAAGAACAAAGCTAGTTGCCGTAAAATAGATTTCAATCAACCTCAAAATAACCTCAAGTGTGAATAAAACAACTTATTTTAAGTTTATTTTTGAAATTCAATTTCGAATAAACCTCAAAATCCACCCTGGCACCTCAAAATAACTTCATTTAAACCTCAAAAATACCTCAAATATTTGTAAGTGATGATTTTAAACTAATATTTATCATCTTGCCGCGATAAATTATCTAGGCTTTAGAACGAACCAATTACTTAAATATTTTAAAAGTTATTAAACTTTTCTTTTTAAAAAAATCTACAAATTGGTGGCATTTTTTATTTTAGAGGAAAATTATCAAAATCACTGCTTTATTCTCAGTTTTCGCAAATTTTCACGAGTCCAAATAAAGCAGCATTAAAGCAATATTGAAATATTAGACCGCAAACGCTTTTCTGTGACTTTTCTCCGTAATGACATTTCGCGCCATTTTCAGAATAAGCACAAACAACTCTGGTTTTAGATAGGCTAAATTATGCCTAACAGTTAAGAGTAACTATTGCTAACTAACAGCCTTAAATGAAAAGATCATATTATTCGCACAAAAGGTATCACTTCATTTGACGACGGAGGCATCAAAAGAGATTCTTAACACTTCCCTATAGTGCTAAATAAATAAAACAACAAACATATTAATTGCTTTCAAGAATCCTATTACAATCTACTGCAACAGTGCAATCTGTGAAACGGCACCTTAAATGCAACCACAAAAGTTTTAAGTACAAGTTTAAACTTTTTGTGAGAAATGAGTGTCAGAAACTCCTGTTCGCTGCTGATCACCAAACCCTATGGATGTGTCACAATAATTTTTTGGTTTCTTGGCACAAAAAATAAACATTTACACTGTAAAAAAAGTATTCTCAAATATCACGAAACTTTCTCCGTTACTGGCGCAACCGTTTCTTAGTATACCCTCTGACTGATTTTTTTTTTCAAAGTGACGAAATAATTATCGTCACTTCTTCGATGAAATAAATTTCATGAAATTTAAAAAAATATATTTCGCCATTCTATTTTTTTACCTTGAAAATACAACTTTTAGTGTGTAAAGTATCTAACTTTTGCAATAGTTTCACTTTCTCGTGGGCACCATATAGACCAATGTCTCCCTTAGAACACAAGAGAGACAGATTGAACACACCCACGACCGAATCGATATTCGATCCCGGGATCTTCCTGATAGGAAGTAAACTCTTTACCCACCATACATATCGTTCGGCTTACTCCGTCCCTTTATTTTCTATTGTTTGATCTCCATTCTAGTTTCGTCATTTTGGTTAACAAACTCCCACAAAGTACCAGGATGAGATTTCGAGTTGAAGAAACATTTTCGTCATATATATGAGAATTCGCGTTTTGTCACAAATCACGTGATTTCATGAAGAAATTATTCTCAAAATTAATGAAATGTAAATCAAGGATTGTTGAATCGTCAAAAGTGAGAGTTTTATTTCTGAGAGATTAGTTACGTAAGTCAAAAATTAAAATTATTCACTTAAAATTTCTTTGCTGAAATAAATACTTATAGATTTTCTTGAACCATGTGTTGACGATTGCATATTCGAGTTTTTGCTGAATATCTGCATATTCGAGACTGTATATTTGAAACACGAGAATTGATCACTTTAAGATAAGACTGATAAGAGCAAAATTTTAATATTTCGATGTATTTTCACGATTATCGACATTTAGTAATATACCGCAATATTGATATAATTTAATTAACTTATATTATTTTTACATTACTCCATATTTTCGCTACCCAAATAATTATCGTTATGTATAATATTCATGATAAATGTTTGATATATTATGCTATGGATAATTATCGCGATATTATCGTATTCGACAATTATAGTTATCAATCATGATCATTATATTTTCGTATTCGTCATGCATTTTTATCATTAATGATGGCCATCATGATGACTTAACTAAGAGTATTGATTGCCTGAGGCCTGATCAACTGGTATTGTTCTATTCTATCTATACATTCTATTTATATAGGATGTTCTTATAGAAGATAACGCGTATTTCCGCAGGTTAAACAAATTGAATAAACCTGTTCGTAAAGCACTAATATTATTAGAATGTGTAATGAAATAAATGATATTCTTTTAATAACTATTGAATATTATGCATTCGACATAAAAAAATATATATATTTATATTTTTTCAAAAAATTAAAAAACGAGCGCAGGTGACACAAACACTTCTTATTAGAATTAAGAAATAAGTAGTTTACGTATAATATTCAAATTAAAATAGCAAAATCTTCCGAAAAATTTAAAATTCAATGCTTTTATAAGTTAAAAAGAATTTACTCTAAAGTGAAATCGCGAAAAATCATTTCCATTTAATATTTTTTAATTACTATTTTCATATTCTTTAAAAATCTAATATATTCGCTATAAATTTACCTAGATTTAACTAGATTTAATCTTCAAACAATACTATAAGAGTATAAATCATTATCAGTTATGTTTTACACTAGTTATGTTTTGCACAAGTCAAGCTGCTTGATTTAATTTAGCGTAAATTTAACATAATTTAAACTCCGAAAAAGCATGTAGCATTTTAAAAAAATGGCCTTTGAAACTATGTCCCAGAATTCTAAATTTATTTTCGTAAAATTTAATTTAGTCTTAGCGTGTCAAATTTTCGAAAACCGGAAAAATTAAATCTTAAATCTAAATTGTAATAGCAGTTTTCACAAAAGAAAATTTTCTAACATCTATTGCTTGCATTTATATCGTTTAAAATTTATATTTTCATCAAAAAGTTAGATTTTGCTGCCGGAAAAAATCGATCATTAAATTTTACATTTGAATGAGCTAATGATGCACTGTAAAATAACACATAGTACATTTAAAGTGATTAGACAGTTTTTTCTCCAATATAATGAACGGAAACTGATGAAGCATATGCTGTCCAACTAAAGAATGCTTTGCACTCTGATGTATTAGTAAACCAAATAATTTAAAAAGCACCATAATACTTACATTCTGTACCATAAAGAGTAAAACAGTTTTGAATTTGAAGAAAATTTCTATATTTTTTATTTGGATATATTTTAGGTTTCTAACGGAAATAAATTTTGAATCCAACACAAATTTGTTCTTATATAATAAATGACCAAAAAGGAACTAAACATAAGATTTATTTCTGCCTAAAACAAAGGACAAACTTTTACAAATTTAGCATTTTTAAGTTTTTAAATAATAGTTTATTCGATGCAAAATGCAGAGAACATTCGCCACTAAATTTATTTAATGAAAAAAATTAAACCAATATTACCTTCACTATTTTGTTTCTACTAGGCTGGATATTTAGTTGGGTAATTATATAAATAAACGTTAGTGTTTATTTAGCTATTTTATCTAAAATTATTGTTATAAAATTTCTAAACAAATTTTAAACATAAACATATGATTCCGACATGTTTAAGTAATGCAACTTAAAATATTTTTATTTTTCCGTTATTTAAAATTTTGCTCAATTAAGTTTTTAGTTAAAACGTTGAAAGTTTCATTTCAGAGTTCTACACTTTTAACTAACTTAATTTTATGAAAGTCAAATTAGGGGGAATAATTTTGAAAAAGGGGTTTCTTCAGTAAATACAAATTGAAGTTGACCCTTTTTCAAAATGAGAGATTAAATTTTAGGCTTAAGCTACAATAAAATTTAGAAATTCTGTATCATTTTTAAACCGAAATAAGTATTATTTATGTAAAATACAAACTTAACGCAGTGATTACATTATTAGTATAAGTTTTAAGAGTATTTTCCTATTACCATTAAAAAATGAGTATTTTTTAAATATAGAAAGTTATTACAGAACAAATAAAACTGCATTGCCATTCACAATTTCAACTTTATAATTAAATTATATCAGAAAATTGAGAAATCCAGGGAATAAAACTTGTTAAGATTTAAGACGAAAAGCTGATTAATAAATTTAGAAATTTTTAAATTCTCATATTTCGACAACTCATTTAAATTTAGTATCTTAGACAATTTTAAAAAGATTTTAAACTTGTTCGGTGATGTTTGGCTCACTACTAAATAAACTTGAAGGATGAGCGAATATTCATTTTTTTTAAATATTGATTTGTACTAAGAGTATTTTTAGTGACGAATTGTGTACAGGTCGTACAATTGTTTAGAGGACAATTGTTTGCTACAATCCAAATACTTCAATATAATAACGTTGACATCAACATTAAAAATTGAATTTCATGTTCTATTGTAATATAAAGAAATAAGATACATTTGTTATGAAATAAATACTGTTTCAGTATTCTTTTAAAACGAACTAATAAAATTTCAAAATACAGTTTCAGTCATGTTAATCTAGCTGTTACAAGATGTTTAAGATAAACATTTTAGCTTCAGGAAAGCAAAAAGATTTCTGCAATTTCGTTACTTTTAACACTAAATTTCAGTTTAAAGTGAATAAGAAATTTTAAAATTACCTGGTAATTTGTACTTTATTACACTACATTTGCTTTTTTGTTTGAAGGTAAACTTTTCATTCGTTAAAACATTTCAATTAAATTTAGATGCATAAAGATTCGTATAAGATTTGCTTACATA